GGTTAAAAGGAATTTGTGAAATGGCCTCACCGGTGTCCGAGGAAGGATTATTGTGACATGATATTCGTTTTTACTAAAAAAACTGGGTGAAAGTAATTCATGAAATGATTTAACAAGTGTCCTTACGATGATTATTATGGCATAATGATCGATGTCGAAATAAATGAAGTTCAAAAGAAATTCGTGAATTGGCTTCACCGGCGCCTGAAATTGGATTAATGTAATATTAGTTTCCATTCCAAAGGAAAAGTTGATTTGACGGAATTCGTGAAATGGCCTCACCGGTGTCCGAAGGAGGGTTATGGTCACGTGATTTTAAATATTTTTAAGTAAAAGTTGACTGGAAGTAATAAGGGAAATGTAATTACTAACGTCAGAAGGAGGATTGTTGTGACATGCCCTTCCATTTGTAAGAAAAAGTTTCTGTAATGAATTTTGTAAACGGCCTTGATGTTGTCCGAAGTAGGCAAATTATGTCATGATGCTCCAGTTAGAGGGGAAATTAAGTTGGAAAGAATTCGTGAAATGGCCTCACCGGTGTCCGAGGAAGGATTATTGTGACATGATATTCGTTTTTAATAAAAAAACTGGATGAAATTAATTCATGAAATGATTTAACAAGTGTCCATACAATGATTATTATGACATAATGATCTATGTCGAAATAAATGAAGTTCGGAAGAAATTCGTGAAATGGCCTCACCGGTGTCCGAAGGACGATTATTACGACACAAAGACCCATTTTCAAGAAAAGTATTATGGAATGAATTTTTACATTGATCTCTCCAGTGTCTCAATCAGGATTACTGTGACTTTATTTTCCATTTCGCGTGAATAGTTAGTTGTAATAAATTCGCATAATATGCCACCTGTATTCGATGGAGTATTATTCTTGCATGATCTTCCGTTTGTAAGAAAATTTTGTTGGAGGATAGTTGGAAAATGGGCTAACTTTTTTCCGAAGTAGAAATATTATTTTATGACGTTCTATTTCGAAGGAATATGTGAAATTGCCTCACCATTGCACGAACAAGTTTTATTCTTTTTCGTATGTAAGCACAGTTTTGAGATTTCCAATAAATCAGTTAAGTGAGATGTGTTCAATTTATTTCGTTTAATGTGAATGATATGAATAGAGCTGAGACATGTCATTTCATGTCAAACAAACAGTTGGCCGAATGAAGTTCGTGACACCAGTCCTTCAGTTCATCGTCCCACTATCCAGAGGAACCTATGCCTATTGATATTGGAATGATCCATGCTTTGTGATTTCATGGCACATGGAATTAAAAAAGAGCAATACCATGTAACCGGCATCTTTTTTGCAACCTCCAGTCGCCTTCATTTCTTCGAATATGAGTAGGATTTCGTGCCTATCAGTGCATCATACACATTAGATTACATAATTTTGTTGAGTGTGAAGAAGCACTGTTACAAGTATCTCGCATAGTCTTCCTTTCCGGAACATATTTTCATCTTAATCAGACTGGACTGCAGTTTTGACCTCGTTTGAACAGATCCTATCAGCAACTGGACTCGAACTCGGGTTGTGGAAGTTCAATCTATAGACTCGACCCATAAAGCACTATGCCACTCTGCCACGACTGCCTTTGGACGACAGGATAGATGAGACTTTCACGTAAGGCCAGGCAATTTGTCTTAAATCACATCCTCCGGTAGGATTTTCGATGAAGCAATTAGTAACCTTACTGATTTTTCGTTTGTAAGTAGACTTTAAAGACTACCAGCAGACAAGATATATGATATATATTCACCATAGTTTGAGGTCGACAGTACCGTTTACTCCTGTCTGGATGAGAATACCTTGTGAGAAGCATGGCTTCATGAAATTACATCAATGTGTGAAGATTGAACTACCAGTTCTTCATCAACTTCACGAATTATTTCCATCCAAGACCTGCTTCGAAATAAGAAATCACACTTCGAGACGCAGTTTTCCTTCGTAAATGTGTGAAAGGAGGGTCTGGCTTGCCCTGAATATCGCGTTTGCTCTGTGGACCAATGGCCTGCGTGGAAGTTTGGTGTAAATGGAAAATAGAAAGATGATAGTGGCTGCACTAATTGGGCTCGATTCCCATTCAGGACGACGATTAGACCGAGGCGAAGCCGAAAGTGGGGTCAATTCTGAGTGTGAGTACCGTTTGGGAGACGAGGCTGTGTGCAATTCAATGTTATACTATTCTAGGTTTAGTAAAGTGTTGCGCATTCATGATAACTCTCACTTGACGAAATACAGCTCAGGACAGAGCATCGGAGTGTGAGAACGATGAGCAGAGGACAAATTCACACAATTTTCGTCTAACCTCCACTCCGTAGTAATCCTCTTTTGGATTTAGTTAAGACCATTTCATAAACTATGAAG